CTGAGCAGGGAGCCCGATGCGGGACTCGATCCCGGGACTCCAGGATCGTGACCTGAGCTGAAGGCAGTCACTTAACCAACTGAGCCACCCAGGCGCCCCCTTTGATGCAGTTTCCTAAGACTAAAGTGGTGGCAGGGTTTTAGAGTTTTTTTTGGGGGGGAGGGGGGACAGTCATGGAAAAGTTGTCGTGATTCCAGTACTCATAATTTCAAGTATATATCTATATTGTTCTTTCTCAGCTTGGGCATTTTTCCTTTACACTTAAATTTCCTTTAAAGTAGAATAACTGATTCCTAGCTTTAGGTAGTAGAACTTTTACATCAGCGTATTTTCTTCCATATCACTAGTATCTGATCATTTAGATACCCATATATTGTCAGATCTGTGTTTATAATCTACTTAAAGATACTTAAGTATCCTGGAAGTTCAGGCCCACAAAATACTTATGTTGTTTTTTTACATATAAATAACATACTATTATTTATGAATCTGTAGTTTATTAGCCAATCCTAAGCCTATCTTTAGTTGGACATTTAACATGTTTGGAACTTCTCACTATTTTAGGTGAGAGTTACGCACATACAGAGTATGTTCAAATAATGTTTTATTTTATTTTCTTAAAAAGATTTTATTTATTTCAGAGAGAGAGAGAGAGTGTACGGGGAGGAGCAGAGGGAGAGAGACAAGCAGACTCTGTGCTGAGTGTAGAGCCTGATGCAGGGCCCAATCTCAGGACCCTGGGATCATGACCTGAGCCAAAACCAAGAGTCAGACATTTAACCAACTGAGCTACCCAGGCGCTCGCAAATAATGTTTTGTTAATAGGTCCACCCTGTAAAATATAAGTTTATAATCCCCATTTTCTATATTGGCACAGAAAAGATAATGGGTATTATCATATGTATGTTTATATATGTAACCTCTACATATACACAGGAATTAATTAGAAGTTGTCTTGAAATTTGAATATAGGTTTTTCTTTTTTCCCAGTAACTGGTAATACTTAAGAAGTACATTCTAAGCATAAGTGACCATGAGTGATAGTAGAAAACATGCTAGACCCTGAAGTCTGAAAACCTGGGTTCCTGTCCAGGCTTTGCTGGGAACTTATATGTCTCTGAACAAGTTGTTTGACCCTTCTGGGCCTCATTTTCCATATCTTTCAACAAAAAGGAATTGGATTCTAGCCCTGTAGTCTCTGTGAATCTTAATATGCCGTTTTATAAACAGAACAAGCAATTTTACATTATTTGTTTCAAAATCTGTAGAAGCAAAAATAAATAAATGACTTGGCTCCTGCCCCATTTTTTTTCTCTTAGATGATTTTCTCAAGCCACAGATAAAAATGCATCCTGAAAATACAATCGCTCTTAGAGGCACGAATGTGACTCTGACGTGCACTGCAGTGAGCAGCAGTGATTCACCCATGTCTACCATGTGGCGCAAAGACAGTGAAATCCTGAATGACATCGATAGCGAGAATTTTGTTCGTTATCAGCAGCACGCTGGAGAAGCTCTAGAATATACGAGTGTCTTACATCTTTTCAATGTGAACTTCACAGATGAAGGAAGATATCAGTGCATCGTTACTAATCACTTCGGTTCTAATTATTCTCAGAAAGCCAAACTGACTGTGAATGGTAAGGAATTCTGCTCCCTGATAGTTTTATAGTTGGAAGGATTTTTCATGTTCAGGTTTTGAACCTCTTGGCCAAGAAAATGAGGCTAAGCCTGACATTTGAGGGGAGATTTTACTGTTTTGTCTTTAGGGTTGTGATAATGTATAGACTGGATTACCATTTTGTCCAGTTACTGTCCCTAATTGGTCCTTGGTTGGAGGTAACGGGGAATTCCATGGCCCCAGGAGATAGGCTGCTTTCCTTGTTACTTATGCTTTTGGAAAAATTCTTTTGAAATTCTCTATTCTTTCTAGAACCATAATTCTGTTCTGAAAACTGTGAAATGTATTTCTGGCACTGTTCACAGGGCTTTGTAATAACAGAGTATTTAGGACATTTCTGGGTGCACTGATCATGATCAATGTCTAAGTGTGGTCACACAGAATCATTTATTAATGCTCTTCTTCATTGTGGTTGTAAAAAGAACTTCTCCAAAACAGTTTGATTAATTGATCACCTATCGGATTGAATCACTAAAACATTTTAGGTTTTGTGCAACCAAAGGATATACTTGTGTCTTACTTCTGGGTTGTTTCATGAGATTTTTGAAGGCATAAATTTTTTGTATTCTGTATTTTATTTATTTTTTGGTATAAATTTCTTTTTGCATGCATTTGCCATGACGGCTTTGTAGATGTTAGTTTGGAAAGCACCGTTTAGTCTCTTAAGTAAGGGAGTCATAATAAATGTACGGAGTTCTGAAAGGTTTGTGGCCTTCTACCTTTCCTGTCCCCATCAGAGAGATAGGTAGACGTGTCATGCATTCTAGAAGAGTTATCACTGTACTCCAAGTACTCTGAGGTTCAAAGAGAAAAGATGGCCTCTGAAGTTGTATTTACTGTCAATCCAGAGAGCATGCCTTCTGAAAGAAATAGTATATTACGAGTTGGTACTTTGTGTATGTGTGTATAAGTGTGTGTGTGTGTATTACCACCGCCCCATCCACTTTGTTTCGGGGATCTTTCTTGAAACAGAGATGCCATCTTTCCTGAAAACGCCAATGGATCTCACTATTCGCACTGGTGCCATGGCCAGATTAGAGTGTGCTGCAGAGGGGCACCCTGCACCTCAGATTTCCTGGCAGAAAGATGGTGGCACTGACTTTCCTGCGGCTCGAGAAAGACGCATGCATGTCATGCCCGAGGATGATGTCTTCTTCATTGCCAACGTGAAAATAGAAGACATGGGAATCTATAGCTGCATGGCACAAAATATAGCCGGAGGCCTCTCAGCAAATGCCTCACTCACAGTATTAGGTATGTGTACTGCCCCATGGGTCCCTGCTTTGGTTGGAGCCTTTTTATTAAGGGTCTACTCTGGTCTTAATGGCAAAAAAAAAAAAAAAAAAAAAGTCTAAGTTTGAGATTTTTTTTTTTTTAAAGATTTTATTTATTCATTCGAGACACAGAGATACAGAGAGAGAGAGAGAGAGCATGAGCAGTGGGAGAGGCAGAGGGAGAGGGAGAAGCAGACTCCCGGCTGAGCCAGGAGCCCGATGTGGGGCTCGATCCCAGGACCCCGGGATCATGACCCGAGCCGAAGGCAGACGCTTAACCATCTGAGCCACCCAGGCGCCCCTAAGTTTGAGATTTTAATTGTGATCCTTCTATCTTTGTCACTTTTTTTTGCCAATACATGCAGGGTTATGTCAGCCTAGGATATTAGTGGATCAGATAACTGAAACCTGGGGAAGTAGTGAGGGCAGAATTAGAGATCTTTATCACATGAATTGAAAATTCAAATCCCTTTATCCTGTTACATCGCCTTCTGGAGTTTTCAGTTCATATATGTTTTTTCTATTCAGCAGTGAGTTTGCAGTTGTTTTATACTGCTTCACAGACAACTCAAGACAATTTGTTTTTTTCCTAGTTTATTTTAAAAAAAATTTAATGCACAAAAAATGACCATCTTCTGGTTAGATTTTCTGTTCTCCTTCCAGTGTACTCCTCTTGATCCTATGTTCTGGTAAAATAAAATGTTTTTTCCCTAAAGAGTTCCTCTGACAAGCCTATTTTTTTTTCTTATGAGAATACCTGTCTTCATGGGACTCAACTCAGAGGCAGATTCTGCTTTCTAGTTCTGTATTCCCCTAGATGTTAGGTTTTTTAAAAGTTTGTTGGTTTGTGTTATTTCCTTGTGTAATCAGAAAAATAAGTATATAGTTTTAAAAATTTAGGGTATATAGAAAATTAGAAAAAGGGAAAGTCACTAAAACACTGTTAAAAGATTTTGGCATATTCTGGACTTTTTTAAAAACATTTTCATGTAGTTATGTATACCTACTTTTATCCTCTTAAATATTATATCACAAGGGTTACTCTGTCATTAAGTCTTCAGAAAATATCATGTGCCTGTACTGTGGTTTACTTACAACTTTTCCTGCTAGATTTAAAGATCTTTTTCCTTTATTTTTAAAAATTACAACTAGTTTCATAATAAACCTGTTTGTGTATAAATCTTTGACTTCCTTGCTTAGGATAGCTTGCCCAAGGTAGAATTAGTGAGATAAGATTTTTGAGGCTTTTGCTTTTCTGAAACACTAACTTCTAATCTTCCCATAAGTATATAAAAGTGTTTACTTATTTTTTTTCTAAGGGTTTTTTTATTTATCTTAGGGGGTGGAAGAGGGAGAGAGGGAATCTCAGGCAGACTCCACACTGAGTGCGGCGCCTGACACAGGGCTTGATCCCAGGCCCCGGAGATCATGACCTGAGCTGTAATCCAGAGTCGGCTCCTTAGCCCACTGAGCCACCCAGGTGCCTCTGAAAGGGCTTACGTATTGCATCATCACCTCATTCATCTGATTTAGTAGGATTTAAGAAATAAAATGGTTTAACATGATTTTTTATACATCTTTCTGTTAGAGACACCCTCATTTATCAGACCGCTGGAGGACAAGACAGTAACGCGAGGTGAAACTGCGGTATTACAGTGCATAGCTGGAGGGAGTCCTGCCCCTCGCCTCAACTGGACCAAAGATGATGGGCCCCTGCTGGTGACAGAACGGCACTTCTTTGCTGCAGCCAACCAGCTTCTCATCATTGTCGATGCTGGCCTGGAAGATGCTGGGAAATACACCTGCATTATGTCTAACACCCTTGGGACAGAACGTGGTCACATTTACCTGAATGTCATTTCATCCCCCAATTGTGACTCTTCCCAGAGTAGCATTGGGCATGAAGATGATGGCTGGACCACAGTTGGCATCGTCATCATTGTTGTGGTCTGCTGTGTTGTGGGCACCTCTTTGATCTGGGTCATTGTTATTTACCATATGAGAAGGAAGAATGAAGACTATAGTATCACGAACACAGGTGAGTGGTACCCAGTTGACACCTATGGCTTGTACTTGAGTCAGGAGCGTAGTATACAATTTATTGTAAAATATTAAAAGCTGTGGAGCTTTGATACTTTATGTGTGGTAGGAGGAAGAGTTTTTTTGTTAAAATGTCCTCCTTCCTTGATAAAATGGAACCTCTCTGATGAATAATTTTAAGAATTTGTAGACAGTCCCCCAAAACCTTGCTCTTACAAACACGTTACAGGTGCACCTTCTTTCTTTAATCCTTAGGGCTCATTTCCATCCAAGCTTCTCTGTGGGGGAAGAGTGGAGCCCTTCTGACTGGGATCGGCCTTTCACCCCCCCGCCCCCCGAAATTCTGAAAGAGAAGAGGCTCAGTCAGGTAGACTGTGAAAGTACTCCTGTGGATAAGATTTTAAGACTTTAGGTTTCGCCTCTTTCAGTAATACTTTTAAAATGAGGCTTTGAAAAGAATTTTAGCAAGAAAGAGTTTTGGGGGGAAATTCTAAGACTTGTTGAGTTCCTAGGTACATACCATTTTCCTGGCCAGTATATGTATCAGAGTGGAGCACATTTGCACAATAGTCTTCTGAGTGTTGCCTAACGTTATTTGAGAGTTACAGATGTGTCTTTTACAGAGGAGCTTAATCTGCCTGCAGACATTCCCAGCTACTTGTCTTCCCAAGGAACACTGTCGGAGCCACAGGAAGGCTACAGCAACTCTGAGGCAGGCAGTCATCAGCAACTCATGCCTCCTGCCAATGGATATTTACACAAGGGCGCTGATGGTAATGACTCTTCGTTGTATATGCTTACAATTTTAGCCTATTCTCTTGAGTTTATTTGTCAATGTGTAGTTTTCCCCATTAACCTGAGGCAACATTTTTTTTTATTTTGTAAAGATTTTATTTATTTATTTGACAGAGACACAGCGAGAGAGGGAACCCAAGCAGGGGGAGTGGGAGAGGGAGAAGCAGGCTTTCCGCAGAGCGGGGAGCCCGATGCGGGGCTCGATCCCAGGACCCTGGGATCATGACCTGAGCCGAAGGCAGACACTTAACGACTGAGCCACCCAGGCACCACTTGAGGCAGCATTTTAAAGCAAGATACTCCGTGAAAACATTTGGCTCCGTGCAAAATAGGATGGAAATTGACCAAAATCTTAACAGAGAAGAAAATCATCTGACAGAAAGGAGAAACACATCTCAAAACAAGAGATTGGCGTACCCAGCAAAGGCTCCCAAACCGAAGTATTATCATGAGAAGGAGGTGCTCTAGAAACTTTTTTGAGGTGTCTTAACTTTTTAAGACATGAGCACTCTTTAGGCCATATCCAGGGGAGGTTTGTCTCTCCTGCTGACAGGTTGATGTTCACTGAAGTTTAAAGGGCAGTGGTGATTCTCAGCATACGTTGGAGAAATCAGAGAGATACAAAATGTTCCCTAATTAAATGAACCCAATTTCTAGTACTACTTCTCTTCCCCACTCCTCCTTTCCCTCAGGGAGTGACAGAACTCGGGGAGGTGAATTGAGGGATAGAAGAATTGGGTTTGATTCCTAGTTCCTGTTTCCGGCTCTGGGACCATGAACAAGTTGCTTAAATCTGAGCTTTAACTTTCTCATTTTTAAAATAAAGAAACAATATTTTATAAAGGACTTCTCTCAAGATTCTCACAGATCCTTTCAACAAATCGGTGTAGTGCTTCAAGTATTATACAAATGAAAGGCCTTTTCTATTTGTACAGAGATTTTTTTTAGGCTGAGCGTTAACAGGGTTTATCTGTTTAATCGCTAAATTGGATTTTATTTTGGGTACCTCTAGCTTTTAGAAGAATCTTTAAATGCCTCTACTCTTTGAATTGGTGGGAAATAACCCTGCTTTCTGGGCCAAACTAACTTCCAGTTCTAACAGTGTTGCTTGATCAAGAAGTTACTTGCTCTTTATTTCTCACTCTCTTTTCTCTCTTTGAACAGTTTTCAAAGCATGTAACAGTCTGGGGAGCTCATTATTAAACTTTACCTCTGCCAGACGTGCACATGTGTCAGGCAGGACTCTTGACCATCAGAGGCTTTTTCTCGGGGTACTTTGAGCCAGGAGTGTTGCTTGATCCCTTGACTCATGAAAGTAATGTGGGCTTTGTAAAGTGCAGTCCTCATAACTCCTTGTTCTCTGCTTTAGTTCGCTTCAGCCAAACATGTGTCTTGTGGCACAGTGCAGCCTTATCTTGGTTCCCTTGAATTGGGCATGACCTTATCCAGGCTGGACAGAGATGGTTTACTGTAGCATTCAAGAGCATGGGCTCTGGAGCCCAGAGTGCCTGAGTGTAGAGTTCAGCTCTGTATTGTAGCAGTGTCTTGGAGCAAGTTCCCTCATATCTCTTGTGTTGTAGTTACCCCATCTGTAAAGTGGGGGTACCTAGTACCTACCTCATGGGGATGCTGTGAGGATTAAATTAGTTAATTCACAGAAAGACCTGGTTTATCAAGTAAGTGCTGAATCGATGCCAGCTGTGGGGATAATGGTGACAGCTGGTGTAGAAAACTGGTGATGGGCAAAGCTGACTCCTTAACTGAAGGATTCTTTCCTGTGTTGTCATCAGGTGGCCCTGGTACCCGGGTTATTTGCTCCGATTGTTATGACAATGCCAACATCTACTCCAGGACCCGAGAATACTGTCCGTACACCTATATTGCTGAGGAAGATGTTCTAGATCAGACACTGTCCAGCCTCATGGTCCAGATGCCCAAAGAGACATATTTGGCACATCCTGCCCAAGATGCCCCTACCCTGGAGAGCCTGGTATCATCAGTAGACAGAGAGATGGCTGCCTTTCCCACCAACCATGAGAGGATAAATGAGAAGAAACTTCCCTCCACACAGATGAGCAGTGGTAAAGGGCACAGTGTTTTTTGTTTATTTTGTTTTGTTTTTACTCTCACCTACTTGATTTTTCCTTCTGTCCTATAAGTGGCACTCGGATTTGACAGGAAGCAAGCAAATTGGTATAATAGAGTGATTAGCTACTGCTAGCTGGTATAAGGTAGGGCCAGAGATTTTCAGAGATTAGAATTACAGAGAAGTCTGCATCTGTAGGATGGAAACAGCTTCTGTGGGCGTATCAAGATCACACTTCTAGAAATTCAGAAGCCATATAGAAAAAGCTTTTAAAAAGTTTCATATAGGTGTTTTTTCTTCCATCTTTATTTAAATAATGGAGATTGGATATGCCGAGGATATAATTTGGTGGAGATTTTTACTGGGAAGGTTTAAAAATGATGTGGTTGCTGTTCTAGCAGGTAAATATTGAATGTCAGTATCACTTAGCCAGTGTTTGCTTTCGTGTGTGAGGCATTACGATCCAGGGCCCGAAGTGGGGACGCAGTTATGGGATAGTGGCTGCGCTCCTCCACGGCCCGGGAGAAGACACACGTGTCACATGGGCAGAGGAGGCATGTGGTAACACCTCGGTCAGTAAGACAAAACTCTTTCTAGACTGGGAAGGGCACTACTGCGCATGTCTTCCTGTCCATCCAGGTTTTTCATCAGCTGTCACCCTCCTGTCAGCCTAAAATGGAAGGGCACAGGAAGTTGGGTGGGGGTGAGGACTGCAGGTGCTTCCAGGGGTGGTTCTGGCAGGAGTACATGAGCTGACGTGGGACTTTTTTTTTTTTTTTTAATCTATTCTTTTTATTTTGAGATAATTCTAGAGCCCCATGCAGTTGTAAGAACAGAGAGTTTCCCTTGTCCCCTTTACGCAGTTTCCCCTCCTGGGAACATCTTGTCCTTTCAAGAATGTGATGTAGATAGAATCATACAGCATGTAAGCTTGGAATTGGCTTTTTTCCCTCAGCAAAATTCTCTCAAAATTCATCAAGTTGTTGTATATTAAAAGTCTATTCATTTCTGTTGCTGAGTAGCATTCCAAGATATAGATGTCTACCTTTTGCTTAACCATTCGCTTAATAAAGAGTATCAATGTATAAAGAACTCTCAAAACTGAACAGAAAAATCAGCCAGGCAATGAGAAAATGGGCAGAGGAACTGGACAGACATTTCACCTAAGAGAATATAGATATACACAGATGGCAAATGAAAGATAGTCGACATCATTAGACATCAAAGAAATGCAAACTGAAACCACAATAACAGGTCATTACACCCTAATCGGAAGAGCTAAAATTAAAAAAAAAAAAATTGTGACAAAATAAATGTTGGTTATGATGCAGAGAAACTGGGGCACTCAAACATTGCTGGTGGGAATGCAGAATGGTACGGCCACTCTAAAAACCAGCTTGGCAGTTCCTCACAAAACTAAACATGACATGGGACTTTTAAGATGTGCTCTCTTATTCTTAATTAAGAGACCAACTCCAAAGATTTCTAAAGAGGGTACAAGTCAGAGAAAAGTATGTCTTGGCTTTAAAGTTCAGTGTCCATGAAAGAAGTGCACCAACACTTAATTCCGTGTTCCCATGTCCTGTCCTAAAAGAGTTACACACATAAAAAGACTTTAAGTAGAACCGAAAGTGCAGTGCATCTTTTTCCTAACTTTCGGGATATCTCAATTGTTAACTTGGTCTGTAAGTGAGGAAGTCAGCAAATGAGTGCTTTGGTGCATTGCTCATTCCTCCCTGGGGTGCTCTAGCTCCTTGCTACTCACAGTGTGGCCTCAGCTTTAGCATTACCTAGGAGCTTGTTAGAAATGCAGACCAAGGTTCCCACCCCGGACCCAGTGAACCAGAATCTTTATTTTAACAAGATCCCCAGGTTATTTGTATGCACGTTAAAGCTTAAGAAACCCTGCCCTAGCTTACTTTTCCACAAGGGTTTTGTTTTTATTTCTGAGTGTTTGTTTCCAGAATGTTTTGCCTGACTTTCTCCAAAATGCATCCCCATGAAGTTAATATAGCTTTCAGCAAATATTCTTTGGGGAAAGAGCTCACCACTGCAGTAAATGAGGTGAATGAGAAATGCATATTTTTGAAACCAAAGTACAGATAATCTGATTTAAAATTGCTGTTTTTGGTTATTATTTTGTTGTTAGAATTACTGGCATGCTAGAAGCTGGAGGGAGATGGTTTATTTTTAAAACAATTTTTTTTAAACATACTCATTTGTTATTTAAAGATGTAATAGCTGCACTGAATCAGTGATTTTTGTATCATGCAACTTTCACTACAATATGGATACTATTTTAGTCTGTTTCCATGTGTCTAAAGAATTTTATTTTTAAATTTTTGTAGCAGCAGAACCACTAATAATAGATGAAAGCAGAGGACATATCACAAGGTTTCAGTAAATACTTGGTTAAGCTTGTTGAAAGACCATGGTTCCAGTTTCTATTTTGTTTTCTTTTGTTAACTGTTGCTAAGAAGTTGGCAAGTGTACATTTGCTCTCAATGTCCTTATTCAGGAATATTGGGTATCTTTCTTTCTGGGAGGATTTGGGTAAAAGAAAATGAAGTTTTAGATCATTAATTTTGAACTTCCATTTGCCACTGATTATTGTCTTTCGTTCTCAGAAACGTTGCCGCGGCCTCTTTGGAACATGAGCAAAGAACTAGGCCTGCCTCATCCTCCCTTTTCCCAGCAGCCAGTCCTTGAGCCACCACAACTCCATCAGAATGAGGGTCTGGCAGAGAGTGGCCCAGAGGGTTCTGCCTCCCCCACGCCCTGTCACAGGTTGCACGACCATGCTTTTGATTTTAGTAGGACTCGGAACATTCAAGATGGTAGTGAGGGCACATGAACCTCACTCCAGGCTGAAATCTGGGCCAAGACTCCAGTTAATTCATTTTGTATTTACTACCTCAGAGTTCAGAAGAAACCCCAAAGTCAGCATTTGCTTTACCCTGTCTGCAATTACATCTGACCCCACCGAGGTGGACCAGGCATTTGTTTGGGCTTATTCCTGAGGAAGAAGGGGAAACGGCTGACAGAAGTGGGTACATCTAATAAAACATGTGCAACACGGGCAGAGGAAAATACAGGACAACTGTGCTTGCTGATGGTTCCACGGGGTTGTGCCCAGCTGTGCATTGCCTATTAGGGAGAGCCTCATTGCTGCCTAACATGCTGGATTGTCTCAACCTGCAGAATGATTCTGAGAAAACATCACTGTTCTGTTGTGTCTTCCAAGGAACAGAAATAACTTCGGAGCTCTCTGGGAGGTGTGTCTGGGATTCTTCAGTGGTTTTAAGCATCTAGTTGAGACCGAGGCTTTGATATTCAAGGTCTTTGACAAGAATCCCAGGCTTGACCAACTGTTACCACATCAAGGGGTGTTGTATTCTTGTGAATCTTTTTTTTTTTTTTTGGTCCCTGTCACCCAGGGATCTCGTTGTAAATACATGTGCATTTATAAATAATTTTTGTATTCATTGACCATATGTGTTAGCTGCATTGTAAATATTTTTGATATGCCAAAATTATATATAATATTCAGTTATAATATTGACAGCAGCTTCTCAGACCACAGATTTTGTATGACTTGGTTTAGTGAACCTAAAGACTTTGTTTAAAGTTTTAAAAATGTGTTTGTTAAGAAGTATATGTATAGAGGCAGGGTACCTAGTGATTGCATACACACAAACACAATCTTGGTGTAATTAACCACTTTCTTCGTACCTAGAAGTTCATACATCTAGTCATTTGCCATCTGTTTACAAGTGCCAGGTAATACTACCTTTCTAGCATAAGAAGACTCAAAAGACTAGCAGTCTTGTCCTAGACATGTGCACAGAGAGAAAATTTCTTTTGGGAATATCTTTCAGCAAAGTCCTTAGTTGATGAGGAAACCAAAGATGCTTCTTTTCAGTTTGTTTTTTTGTATTTCTTCTACCAAGGCACAGTATATCTTAAGAAGGGAAGAGTGCTTTTGGGTAAGTCGAATGTGCACAAATTCATAAACTGTAAAGCTTTAGAGTGTTTTCCTTGTTTATACAAGTGATTATTTAAGCCAAAAAGTTCTCTTGAATTTTTGATAGCAAAAAGCTTTATATGAACAAAGAACTTCTAATGGAATGTAATGGACTAAAGTTCGTTTTTTCTTTATTCTTTCGGATTTCCTTACTTAGGCTGTCAGATTCTGTCCTCTCAATCTAGTGAGTACTAGTTATGTGCTGGATGACTCCCATCACTTAAATGAAAATATCTATTTCTAAGTTATTGTGCATTTCAAGGGTTCTAAACTCACATAATGTCTTCGCTTTTTGCCACAAAGGTGAATTGCGTACTAGTTCTCAATCCTAGTTTTTTTCTCCCATAGGCAGTGGCGTGCGTCTCTTTAGTGGTTTTGTACCACCAAGCCGTTCTCTCTTTTCTTTTTCAAACTGTCACCCTCTGTTCATTTTTACTTCGAACTTCTTAAGTATCACTATTTTCCCATCCTTTCAATTTGTGATTCTTCTTCTTCCTTACTGGGTTGTACTGTTATCTGTACAGGGCTGACTTAGAATCAGGAGACCTGATTTTGTTCCTGGCTCTGGTCCTTACTGGCTGTGCAGTCAGGGGCAAGTGTCTACTTCTCAGCCTGATTTTCTCATTTATGAAATGAGGGAATTCTACTGGATGCTCTAAAGCCCTTTCCAGCTGTAATGTTCTGTGAATCTGTGATCCCTCCAGGAACCAAGGAGCATTCTGCTCCTCTAATAAAAAGCTGCTTTCACGAAACGTTTGTTAGAGTAACAAGAGTGATGCTGCTTACTCTGACTTGAGCCAGATTCACTTCCTCCATAGCAGGAGGGACACTGTAAGAAATATTCTCGAGGAGAAGAGCTCTTCTGCTTTGAAACCGTCTCAGTGAACGACGAGTGTGTTGACTCGATGGAAGCCACCGACGGCTGTCCAGAGCAGCGGCTCTGAATGCTGGGGCCGCCGCACGCCTGAGCATCAGAAGCAGGTGAGGGGGGCCCTGCGGCTAATCTGTAGCTGGTTTGTGGCTCCCTTACCTTTCAGATGTCTTCATTTGTACAGGTAATCCTGTTACTATCCTGTACTCTCACTCAAATGCTGACAGACTTTTCTTGAGTGAAAAGGTGTAGTTAGAATGAGGCTGCAGGTGAGCATCGGCTGTTAGGGTGACAGAACCGAAAACCAGGCTGCGAACCAGTGTCCGAGAAAACTTGGAGTACAGGAGTGCCGCCTCTGCCCTAGCAGGGGTCCTGTTCCTCCTACGACTGTCATTGTCTGGTCTCCCGAATGGCCAGGGTCTCCCTTATGTCAACACCAGTGGCTGAGATGCCTTCCCAGATACTCCCAGCTTGCCGAAACAACTACAGAACTAGTCAAGAATTTGTTTAAACGTGAAGAGCCTACCCCTGGTTTTAAAAAAATAATAATAAATTTAATAAATTCTAATCTTAGGAGAAGGACTTGGCTGAAATTTTTCATTATTGCATATTTTTTTTTTTTT